GGCTTGGGGTGGATTAATGACTGTACATTGAGCATTGAGTCCCCTATACAGAATTTTATTGTTGTTAACAACCATTTGATCAATGAATATGAGAGATGCCCTCTCAAAAAATAAATAAATAAAATAAAATAAAATAAAAAAACAAGGAAAAAAATACATATATAAAACAAAAATGAAACATAAGGAAAAAAATTAGAATATACATCAAAATGTAATCAATTATTATCTCTGGTTGATACAAAGAATGATTTTAGATTTATTGTTTTTCCCTTTGTGCTTTCTATATTTCTAAGTTTTCCATATCAAATGCGTATTATTTTTATAATTAGGAAGTTATTAAAATTACTATTATTGGTATTAAGGAAGGGTCCTAACAAACTCATCAAAAGTATTGTTTTCACTGTAGTTGAAACATTTATTGAGAGTCTCCAAGGGCCAGATAGTCTCAAAGTTTCTGGTCTAATAGATAAGACACAGGCAACACAATACAGGGCTGGTGGGTTCCGATGGGGAAGCCTGAATGCGCAAAGGACTCCGAGGGGGCCAGCTCACAGGCTGGCCAATATCTGGGGCAGTCTGGGGTTTACAACAAATAATGATAGTAATGAACTATAATCCACCCTATAAAGTAAGAATCCTTTGAGTCCATACTGACAACAAACAAACAAATAGGGCATAAGAAAAACTCTTCCTTACTGTATATGCCAACTAAATAAATGGAAAAGAATGACAGGGTTAGAAAAACCATTTTACACCCACCATAGTAATGACTGAGTCAGGCAAGAATCCCAAATGCATGCTAGAATTAGTGGGCCCAGGCTTCATGAGGAACAGGATTTTGTATCAAAGTATCTCCCCATGAATTATTTACTAATCACAAAAGGGGGAAGAAAGGTAACTTTACAGTAGAGAAACCTGGTGGACACCTTCAAACCAAGTGACTGAAGTTAACTAACATCACAAATAATGAGACAAACTGACATGTGCCTCTTAGGAAACAATACTTCTGTGGTATTCCTGCCAAAAGTGCTTAAGTCTAATGACGAAAAATTGTCAACACAAACCTAAACTAAGGGACATTCTACAAAGTCAGTGGTTTGTACTCTTCAAAAATGTCACTATATGGGAGATTAAAAAGGCTGAGAAACTGCTCCAGATTAAGAGACTAAAGAGATGTGAAAATTAAATGCACTGCATGATCCTGAACTGGGTCCTGGACCAGAAAACAAATATATATAAAGGGTATTTATTATTGGGACAACGGGCGAAATGTGAATAGGATCAGTATATTAAATAAAGGATTGAATCATGTTTTACATTTTCTAATTTTGATCATTTTCTCATTTCTGATTTTTTGGTTATGTAAGACAATATCCTGTTTTTAGGGAACATGCTGAGGTATTTATGGGTAAAGAGGCTTCATGTCCGCATATTACCCTCAAATAGTTCAGAAAAGAATAATATGTCATAATAAATGAAGAAAAAAATTAAAGTGTGATAAAATGTTAATAATTGGTGTAGTTGGTGAATTACAGGATTTAGGAATCCAGGGATTTTTTTTTTTAGTAGTCTTGGGATTTTTCTGTAAATTTAAAATTACTTTTTAAAAAATTCGAAACCACCATTTAACGGGGACAGATGACAACTACACTTACTGCGGTGAACATCTTGTGTATGAATGACCAATCACCATGTTATACACCTGAAACTATTATTATATTATATCAACTATACTTCAATTAAAAACAGAAGAATAGAGGAAACTCGGCGGCGGGTGGCCGCGGCCCCACCCCTGGCGGCAGGCGCATCTGCTGCCTTACTTGTCTTTCTCAGCTCTGAAACCGTCCTCAAAACACTGCCTCCTGGATGGCTCACGTTTTGGTTCACACTCAGGAATTTTGTTCATCTTTCACCTGCATGCCACTAGCCCTCCAGTAACTGACACGTTGTTACTGAAGGCAAGAATTAAGAATTTAAATGAAGATTTCCATATAGGAAAAGAATTACTGAATGAAAGGTGATGGGCAGCATGGATCCTTAAAAAAAAAAAAAGACACCAGCTGTGTCAAAGACTTCACAGCTTAACCCCAACTTCAGGTGCCAGCCACCAGTTCCAGACCTCCTGCACTTCTGACCAACTGGCTATAAATTGGGACTTCCCATGACATCCTCCTAAAGTTCAGTAATGTCCTAGGATGGCACACAGAACTCAGGAAAACACATAGATTCACACCGGATATTATACATACCCTTTGCATCCTTTGGAAGGATACAGATGGATAGCCAGATGAAGAGGTGCATAAGGAAAGGTCCAGAAAGATCATGAACACAGGCTTCTGTACCTGTGGAGCTGGGTGTGCTCACTAATTCTGAAACTCTCAGAATCTTCTGGTTCAAGCGTGTTTAGAGAGCTCAGTCGCCAGTGCACCCCACCCTTCTTTCAGGAGTGGGGCTGAAAGTTCCCACCCTCTCATCAGTTGGCCTTTCTGCTGACCAGTCTCATCCTGAGGCTAACTAGGGGCTCCACCATAACTCACCTTATTAACATAAACTCTGGGGTGGTGGAAAGGGTCTCATTATAAATAACAAAAGATGCTCCTCTATCAGGGAATTCCAGGGTGTAGGATTTTTGAATGGGGAACAAAGACAAAATACTTATTTTTTATTATACCAAAGGCAGTCATAGACTTCTAACAATAGTCACTAAGATTTTTAACTGTTTTCTAGTCCTAACCCCCCTAAGCAGCGTTTAATAGTTCAGTTTCCCATATAGGGTTTTCCACTGGGGAGCAAGTGTTCAAGGAGGAACATAACATTCTGGCTAACTTGGTAGTTCTATTTAAATAAACAAATAAATAGGTCTTACAGCTTTGATATCAGTCTCATGGGACTGCAATTAGTGGGGGAGTTAGTATCAACTCTGTGTGGACTAAAAAGTATTGGCAAAACTGGTTATTAGTGTAGCAAATACAAACACAGGTTCCTGTCTCATTGGGTACACAACACTAGGTACAAAATAAATTCACTCTAGGTACAAAAATAAATTCCAGGTAGATCGAAGAGCTAAATGAAAAAATACGGTAAAAATATTATGATTTTAGGATATTATATAACTGCAGTAAAAAAAAAAACTTCAATGACTGGTTAGCCAGAGACGAGTAAGATTCCTCAAGGGAGGAACAACCTAAGACAGGCACAGTCGCAGGGGGCCATCAGGTGAGAAATTGGAAATCAACAGAGCTGAAGCTTAGAACCTCACCCCCCCCTGTTTTGAGAGAAATCTTCTGCATCCGTGGATGTTTTATTGCCCTTGTCTAGCTTGGATTAACACATAGTCTACAGGCACACACCTGATCATCTACAATTGCTCTCTTACAACACTAAACTATGTTTTCTACCTTTATCTTGCGTCTATCTACCACTTCAGCATTTTATTAAAAATAAAAATAATAATGATAATAAAGGGAGAAATGTGGGATCCACATATAAATCAAGTATAAAAATCAAATGAATATTCATATTTGACCTGATTGTTTATAGTTCATAATGCGTGATCAAAACCGAAAGTTTCTGTGATGACTGCCCTTGCACTGTTCACCATGTAAGAACTTATTCACTATGTAAGAATTCGTTCACCATGTAAGAACTTGTTCGTTATGCTTCAGAAGATTGGAGACTGACGAAAATTAGGCTTGAGATGGATTAATGATTGTGCATTGAGCATTGACTCCTCTATACAGAATTTTATTGTTGTTAACAACCATTTGATCAATAAATATGAGAGATGCCCTCTCAAAAAAAAAAACTTCACTAACACAAGAGCCATTTAAAAAATATATATTTGACTACATAAAAATTTAAAATATGCTAAATCTATTAGTAGTTAGAGATATGTAAGTAAAACAATGAGATACCATTTTTCACTCCTCAAGTAGACAAAAACAGAACAAATTTTATTGTTACCATCCATTGCTTGCCAGGATATGGGGAACCTGATAGATACTCTCATATACTGTTGTCATACTGTTGGAAAATAACCTGTAAATACTTACTAAAATTATAAGTACACACATGCACATTTCTATAAAAAATTGCACGTATCTTAAATAAATACATGAATATGTAAAAACAAACAAAAGAATAAATAAACGAGAGAAGAAAAATCACGCTTACAATCCTGTCTCCGTCCTGCAGATGCGATGTTGGATAAGCCATTAAATCTATCAGGACTTCTAGAAAGTAGCTATTAAGACCATCGCCAGATCATTCTGAAGTGGTAAACGAACCTGCCAGATAAAACAAGGGCTCTGGTCAAATGGAGAGGCGGAAGGGGGCCCGAGATACCTCCCTTCGGGACCCCTGAGGTCCTCCTACCCCAGAATGAAAGCGTAGCGGGTGAGGAAAGCCATCTAAGTGCTCAGCTGAGGCCAGAGGCGATTAAAGGCGTCGGATGGGGACTCGCCGCACCTGAGCGGCCTCCGACCTGACTCCATCAGGGCCCGGGTATTTGAGGACGTGGCTCCGAGGCCCCCGCCTCAGTCTCTCCCTCCTCTCCCTCCTCCGCTGGGCTCCCTCTCTCTCCTGACCCTGAAGGTGGACCTGAAACTCCAACACCTCGACCTCTGGGCCAGCCTCCATGGCCAGGTCCCGGCACTGCTGGACTGGGACTTGGGGACCGAGTCTTATCTGGCCTCCACCACGGCGCACCTGCCCTTAGCCGAGCAGAACCGTGAGTGCCTGGGGGGAGAGGGGGAGGGGCGGCCGCCCGGGGGGCTCGTGGGGCGCTGGCCGTCAGCTCCCCGCACCCCCGGGGGCCCTGCCTGCGCTGCGCCCCCTTCCGCTGAGCCCCGGCGCCCCAGCCCCCAGCCCCCTACTTGGCCGGGTGACGCCTGGGCGGTGGCCTCGACTGAAAGCCCGCGGAGGGCAGGGGTCAGGCCCCGGCACTAAAAAAAAAAAAAGACACCAGCTGTGTCAAAGACTTCACAGCTTAACCCCAACTTCAGGTGCCAGCCACCAGTTCCAGACCTCCTGCACTTCTGACCAACTGGCTATAAATTGGGACTTCCCATGACATCCTCCTAAAGTTCAGTAATGTCCTAGGATGGCACACAGAACTCAGGAAGACACATAGATTCACACCGGATATTATACATACCCTTTGCATTCTTTGGAAGGATACAGATGGATAGCCAGATGAAGAGGTGCATAAGGAAAGGTCCAGAAAGATCATGAACACAGGCTTCTGTACCTGTGGAGCTGGGTGTGCTCACTAATTCTGAAACTCTCAGAATCTTCTGGTTCAAGCGTGTTTAGAGAGCTCAGTCGCCAGTGCACCCCACCCTTCTTTCAGGAGTGGGGCTGAAAGTTCCCACCCTCTCATCAGTTGGCCTTTCTGCTGACCAGTCTCATCCTGAGGCTAACTAGGGGCTCCACCATAACTCACCTTATTAACATAAACTCTGGGGTGGTGGAAAGGGTCTCATTATAAATAACAAAAGATGCTCCTCTATCAGGGAATTCCAGGGTGTAGGATTTTTGAATGGGGAACAAAGACAAAATACTTATTTTTTATTATACCAAAGGCAGTCATAGACTTCTAACAATAGTCACTAAGATTTTTAACTGTTTTCTAGTCCTAACCCCCCTAAGCAGCGTTTAATAGTTCAGTTTCCCATATAGGGTTTTCCACTGGGGAGCAAGTGTTCAAGGAGGAACATAACATTCTGGCTAACTTGGTAGTTCTATTTAAATAAACAAATAAATAGGTCTTACAGCTTTGATATCAGTCTCATGGGACTGCAATTAGTGGGGGAGTTAGTATCAACTCTGTGTGGACTAAAAAGTATTGGCAAAACTGGTTATTAGTGTAGCAAATACAAACACAGGTTCCTGTCTCATTGGGTACACAACACTAGGTACAAAATAAATTCACTCTAGGTACAAAAATAAATTCCAGGTAGATCGAAGAGCTAAATGAAAAAATACGGTAAAAATATTATGATTTTAGGATATTATATAACTGCAGTAAAAAAAAAAACTTCAATGACTGGTTAGCCAGAGACGGGTAAGATTCCTCAAGGGAGGAACAACCTAAGACAGGCACAGTCGCAGGGGGCCATCAGGTGAGAAATTGGAAATCAACAGAGCTGAAGCTTAGAACCTCACCCCCCCC